GTGATTGCTTCGTTTCGCTGGATCATTATTTCCACGATCGGTGAATTCATGCACACGAAATGAGTTGTACTTGTGGCGATCGTAAAATTTAAGAGAATTTAAATAGTGATAGCAGTTACGTTTACATCCGATTAAATGCACGTGTATACTTAACGTAACGTGTTTACAATGTATACAATGGAGAAAATCATTTCCATTTCGTTTTATTTTATTCTCTTATCCTCCCTGTTCGAGCAGCAAGTAATAAAAGTATCATTTATTTTCAAAAGCACGGGATACGTTCAAATTGCATATATTTTAATATAATCTTATCATTACGCTATTTGCATTATAACTAATTGCATATGTTTCAACATAATCTTATCATTAACCTATAAAGGAGAAAGGATGAATGAGTGTTTTAATAATGAACTAACAAATTCGAATGATATGATAAATTGCTCAAAGTATAGAACCAAAACGTAACCTAGTGAAAATCTAATGTCAATGATCATTTAATTGTGAGATATATCATGGATATTAAACAAAATACAAAAACTTCTGAATCAATATTTAACATTGTTACGCAATCTTACACAATGCCATTTTAAATACTACATCTAAATATTATTGAATATTCTTTCAAATTTTTTTTTTATTTCATGGATTTTCAACCTTCATTTATTCTTATACTTTTTAACCCATATATATGGTAAATAATTAACTTATCGATTCACCATTTTGTTCTATTTATTAATTTCACATTTCGTTTGTGATGATAAGAGAACACAGGGTTTCGATCGAAACGTAATTCTTGGAACGAGATTCTCCTCATTTTTTACGATTAGACAACAATGTTCGAACAAATCGAATATTGTTTCATCGAAATTCTTCTTTAATCGATAACAAGAATAAAATTCCTTTTCTTGATACGATACATACACGTCTTTTCACGATCAAAAATTCAAAATTCTACTTTTCTTACCGAAAATCTCGAGATCAGGGGGAATAAATCCGCGAAATTGTTTCGCTAAACCAAAAACCACGCGTCCTTTAACTTCGTCGCTGGGACAGATTTTTCACTCGTGAAAAAGAGGAAAAGAAAAGAAAAATGCCTGGTTGTATCCCGGATGGCCAGAGAGGTGAATTACTACGGTTTCAAAGTTTCTCCAATAGGCGAACCTCGCGCGGAACAGTGCCGAATTTCACTTTTTTTTTTTTTTATTCGCTCAAATGCATCCGGCCAGTTAAATTATGATTTCGCAACGGAGAGAGAGAGAGTGAGACAGAGAGGAATAAAAGCGACTCCAGAGCAACGCGCATTCAATGCAACTTCGAAAAGGGATGGAAACAAAGAGCGCAGCGCCCGACCATTTATAATTTCGCGTTGTGATGCGCGCGAGAAAGACGGAAGCAAAGGGGGAGGGGGGAAAGAAAGGAAAAAAAAGAAAAAGAAGAAATTAGATTAGATTGATAAGCAAGAGACAACGTCAAAGTGGCGTTCCCCTTATCGAAGCTTCGAACTCTCGATAAAGATTATCGTCACGGTGATGATCGACCATTTTAAATTGCGATGTTCGATGTTCGATCGATAGTTCGAAGTATAGTTGAAATTTTTTGGTGAATTTTTTCGAGTAACGAGCAATGGTTAATCGAAATAAAGGAAAAAGAAAAAAAAAATCGGCGGTTAAATGTGTAGATAATCGTTGAATGATCGTCGATGATTTCTTGAAATTTTAATTGACGCTTTTATCGTGGAAACGCCTATATATACTTTATACAATGAATTACGACGAATCGACTTGATTAAGCTTATTACGTAGTTATTGGATAATTATATTTTCGTCGGAATTATATTAGAAATTATACGAATTAGATAATATAGATCAAGATTATTAATAATTATTAATAATCAACGAATAGTGAAAATGGTAATTGATACAGATATCGAATATATTTTAAATTAAGGATACAACGAATTTACGACACAATTTTCTTGTCGTTTTAGATTATTCCTAATAAGAGAATTTTATTAAGAGAAATACGATAAGCGCACGATTTTTAGCATAAAAATTTATCTTTATTGATAATATATTTCACGATTTTGTTGTAAAATTTTACGTATTTTTTTTAAAGCAATATTCGAATCGAATTTCTTTTTCTCGAGAAAAATGTCTCGTGGTTTTTATTGAAATTAACGATAATAACACGCTTCCTCGTGTCGCCATCTTCATTCTTTATTAAATATCACAGGAAAGTGCATCCCTTCGTTACATAAACTTATGCGCTGTTTAAAATAACTACATTATCATCCCCATAAACGAGACATCTAATATTTACAATATTACATTGCATAAGCCTGATACTTTTAAAAAATTAAAATTTAACGATGCTAAATTTATCATATTGTTTTTTTTTATATATTTTTATTAAGTTTTTTTATAAATTTGATTTATTTATATCGCCATTCGATTCATAAATTCTTTTATATCGCTAATTACTTTGAGTGGCCAATATAATTTCATCGGATAAAGATTTGCAAATTTTTACCAATTTAACGCAAACATCGATCGTTCGATTCGTGTTTTATTTGCATTAAATTAGAATATTGTTATACTTCGTAAATGTAAAATTAAATTCAAAAATTTTAATTGTAATTAGTGAAATGTTAATTAACGTACGAATTCCATGTTATATCGCACTTTTCATTGAAAGCAATCTTTCAACCGATATATGAAACAGTTTTTTCTGAAATTTTATAATTTCGTTATCTCTTCGTCATCTTTTCTCTTCATTTACCCTTTTTTTTTTTAACGTACATAACAGTTTGATCAATCATCAGATATCTAAATAACGAATATATTTCTTTACATTGCATATCTTCTTTAGAAAAGAAAAGAAAATATATTTCTGTATATTATGATTGGTAAAAAAGAATTTTTTTCTTAAACGATCTAAACTTCTCTATCGTAAAAAAAAAAAAAAAAATAAAATAAAATAAAAAAATAATAAACTGACAAAAATGTATTCAAAACATGAATGGAAGTTGATTTCATCCCCTCAAAGAGTTTTATTCCATGTTCTCCAACCCTTTATATACGTACAAACTTTCTGATTAAAATCAGAATTTTTGGAGTAAATAAATTATAAAATATTCGTATCTCTAAAATATTTTCGCGTATCTTTTTTTTCCTTTTTCCTTTCTTTCTTTTCAAATCCGTAATAATCCGCAAGAATAAAGAATCTCTTTACGAAGGATTGAATCATTTCGATAAAAAAAGGAAATATCCATTTGTAAAAACGACTATATAAATATACTTTCGTCGATATAATAATACAATAATATACAATAATAACGATACAATAATAAGTCCGTTTAATTAAAAAAAGGAAAGGAGAGAAAGAAAATAAAATTAATCGTCTCGAGAATCTCTGGTTAATTGTGAAGCAACGTTATCCTCTCAATAGATGTAACTCTCCGTAGGGGAAACAATGAAGCTAATCGACCGCACGGTCGTTCGAAAGTCGAGAGAAGAAACTAAAATCTGACGATCGAAAATAAGCGAACCCTTCGTTTACCGGGATAACTATTCGAGAAAGAAATGGAATAACGGATAAAATGGATAAAAACTCGTTATTATCTCGAGCGTACGGGATTTTAGGACACGTTCACCTTTCATACGTAACACGCCACCCAAAGACAACTCTCAAACTTGAGTGGCGTAATTGAAGGGTCGAAGCAACAAAGCCGGTAAGTGGTTTCGCGCTTTTCAAATAATAAAGTTGTACGTACGAGAAGCAAGCCTAGGCAAAAGTTTAGGGGATATTCTGTTAATTATTTACAATCATTCTGAAATTACTATTACGTACGTATTTATACAAATTTTTTAAAAATTCCTTTAAAAATTATATCATTTTTTAAAGGACAAAATGTCAAATATTTATAAATCGAGAATTATTGTTATTTCTTTCAAATTTTATTTTTATTTATTTATTTTATTTATTATATTATTTTTTAAAGGACAAAGTGTCAAATATTTATAAATCGAGAATTATTATTATTTCTTCCAAATTTTATTTCTTTTTCGCATAAATCGTGAAATTAACGTGATCATAATTCTTCGAAAGATTCTTTTCGCATGTAAAACGTAAAGAATGATAATATTCGAAAGTATCTTTATCCTAAAATAAAACATATTTTGGAATTAATTTTACGTCGATTTCTTTTCTTTTTTAATCTTTTGGTTAATTGATGCAATTATCTTATAAATTGATATTTGATTTCGATAAGATACCTTTACATAGCATGGCACGATTAATAACGTATGGTGCAATTAACTAATTGTAGATTTAAATTGGACTGGAATGACTACTTCGACATTACGAATTCTCTTTACATACGGTATACCTTTAAAATCATTACTCGACGTTAAGTTTAACGTTAAGTAATTACTCCTATTGTAAAAGAACAAAAAAAACTATTCGCCCATTTGCATAAATGCACGATAAAGATTGGGAGATCCACAATTCAATCCCAAGATTTCAAGTATTCTTCTCATTTTCCAATATCCACTTAGCACAATTAAACTTATTCCCACCTTCTAAAAAACGAGCCTCTCGAAATCGGCCTCTCGACGACAATAAATCAAATTAATTCCACGCTCGACAAAAAGATGTTTAAAAAAACCTATTCCCCAACAAACATTCTCACCCTTCTGTGCGAAAACCCTTCTCGAAATCTTCCCTTTCGGCCCAATCCATCCGCTTCCTCCATCTCTTCGCACTCCCTTCCAATACCGGGGATAAAATTCTATTTTCCCCATCGCGTCACTCCAAAAGTTCACAAATTCACTGATCGGTATATATCTCAATCTCGATATACAAAACTCGTATATAACACCACACTGGTATAACGACAACCAGCCAACGGAAAAATTTGTTTTTCACAATTGTCACGTTGTGGAATAAAGAAAAAAAAGAAAAAACCCTTACGAGTTGGGTAATAAAAATGCAACACCTACCTGGTCGAGTGGCCGAGCGTGGGGTTGAACACGATCGAACGAAGAGGTTATACACTGGAGGATCGTCCGGTTCCAACGAAGGACGGTTGGAACTCGCGAGATTTTCGAGGAGAGGGGGAGAGAGAGAGAGAGAGAGAGAGATGTGTATGTGTGTATAAAGATAGAGAGAGAGAGAGAGAGAGAGAGGACAAGCGGCGAACACTGCGTGAACAAACGGCGGACGACGAGAGCGCACGACGCGAATGACGGACAGATGAAGCACAAAGTGCGCGCAGCGAGCTCGAGCTTCTCCTCTTTATACCCTCGAACTTGCACCTGTGCTTGCGCAGATCGGCCTCTTAAGCTTCGTCCACTCGGCCCCTTGGTTCCCCACGGGTGAACCACGTGCTCCAATCGTTCCACGCATCGGTGCCCCCCTGTTTCGCTTACCTCGAATCGAATCGTTTTCACGCCTTTGCTTCACGGACAGCTCCCTTACGAGGAACGCTCCTCGAGGTTTGGCTGCGATTTGGGTGGATAGGTTGATCCATTCCTGGAACACGTTCGAGGAAGATTAGATAGAGTTCGAAGTCGAATGTATGAAAATATACTTACTATTTCGTGAACAATTTTGCGTTATGACAGAGTAGATGGCGTGATGGAGATGGAATTCGTCTGGTTTTGTAAGTATAATCTTGATTCTTTTGTATCTTTGCGTAGTGATGATTAGAGAGAATCCTAGAAGAAAGAAAAATTCTTGTTAATGTAATATTGAGGATATTAGATTAATTTTGTTGGTGGTAGAAATGTGGAGATTAGAAGAATTAGAAAGATGAAAAAGCGAAGTGGTTGCTTGCTAATCAGAAGATTTTAGTATAATCTGTCGAATACTCGTGTTTCAACGTATTCATTGATAAATAAATGAGGAAAATGAATGAAGTTAATTGAATTTTACTTTGTATAAAGAAATGTGTTAAGTGTATCTCTTAATATTTGAAATTAACCTGTATGTAGAAAAGATAAAATTAGTATATTATTGTGTAGAAAAGATAAAATATAGTGTGTATTGTATTAACAAGGTATACCTTTATCACATTAATAACTTTCACTTGTATTTTTAATTTAGAATTTATCTCTATTGAATTTCCCATTCAACAGGTAACATGAGCAAAAATGTCAAAATAAAATATCCTAAAATAAAATATATTTTGGAATTAATTTTGCATTCCTTTTCTTTTTAATCTTATATCTTTTGGTTAATTATCTTATAAATTGATATTTGATTTCGATAAGATATTATATAATATAAAGAATATTCAAATGATTCTTCATTGCATCTTAAACACGTTTCCATTTTTCTTTGGTTGACACGTGAATTATGTCTTTTTACGTAATAATATCTTTAGCAAAACATGTTGTTGAATGTCTCTATGAACATTAATAATGGACCGATAATACATCTTTTTAGAATGCAATACGTAAATTCTTTTCTTAAAAATCAAACACTCCTATAAAATAAGACATTCTTTATTTTTATATCTATTTACTGATATACTTAATTAATTATTTCAAACGATTGTTCATCTCCCAGTTGGCAATCTGTGACAAAAATTTGATATCTGTTTAATTAGATAGATATCTTGACCAATTAGATAATATTTGAATAAATTTCCAAACATTAATTTAGATAAATATCTCGAAGCTGTAATATTAGGCTGTATCGGGCAATTTGTGGTGAAATTTAGCAATAACTAGAATTTTTTTTTTCCCCCTCCTTTATTTTCCCATTATTTCTTTTCGTTGACCTTTCGTGGACAAAGATGGGCAATTAGCCAGGGACCCAGTTTTGGACCCGTGGTACATTAAAATACGTACATAATTTCTGCTCCATTGTTCAATGGCGACATCTTGCACAACTTTACCGATATTTCGATTACACGCACAGAGAATGTATAAGCATCTTTTCAACGGTAAAATTCTAAACACCGAGCAACACATAGCTCTTTGAACAACAACGTAAAGCGGTTTAAAATTTCACGAAGACATGTCCTGTTCATGGTTGCACACGAGAACGTGTATCCCATGCACAAAATAAAAGTATCGCGGGAATTATTCTTTCCCTTATCTCGTATTCTCAAAGTGATTATCGATAAATCTTCAATCAATCTTATAAATTTTAATCCAAATCTTTAATTAAACCTTCTTTTTTTTTTTTTAAAATACATATCATTATGAAATGGCAATTCCTTCCTTTTTAAATTAGAAAAAAAAAAAATAAGTTATATAATGAATAATGAATAAAAATTATCAAACAATAAAATTTTTTAACTTACGATATATTTAATTTACGTTTAAATTATATCATTGTAATAATTATTTTTTTATTGACAAGTTAAAAAAATTGTACCTGTGTTTGTAATTATAAAAAAATATCGTTGATTAGTAATTTTTTTTAAACAATATATATTTATTATTAATTGAATAGCTATAGTTTCACGTGTATGTGATATATATAATATGTTTAAAAAATTTATCTCGTCGCTTTTTTCGTCGACCCTTTCTGGCCTGTTTCCAAATTAATATGCACCAAGTGAATAAATAATCTGAACTTGCCATACGCGTATGCGACACTTCTGTACTCCACTAAATTTTATCCATTTGTTTCTATTAAAACTTAAATTTTAATGTACAATGTTTATTTGTTCATTTCGTCGTCATAAATTATCAGGATATATTATTCGTGATATTACATATTCACGAAGGTTCATGATATCTAGATAATCACACAATTTGTATTCAGTAATTTTAAAAATTATTAAATAAACGAATTCAATCTAATAATTATCAAAATAATTTTATACATAACGAGCAAATATAACTAAATACCTATCTAAAATTTTTAAATTCATTTTTCTTCTTTTTTATATTATTATATTCATCACTCGTTATCATCTTTTCAATAATATAACTATATTTATAATTTAATAAACGTTCAATTATAAACTATCAATTTACAATCATACAATATAAATTTATTAATTAATCTCATAAATTGAACATACCTATGTGCATGTATATATAATTAAATTTTCAATATTTATTTCATCTATTTTAAAACACTGTAGTTTCATTCATATTCTTTTTAATTTCATTCTATTGCTGTAATATCTTTACTATAAGAGAGATATTTATAAAAAAATGTTAATGTCTCCATTTTGTTCTTATATTTACGAGGAAATATCTGGATAAGAAAAGAAAAGATATTATATAACAAAGATGTTGCTGTACTAATTTCCAATTTCAATTAATTTTATCAATATAATGAAAAGGGGGAAAAGTGAGGCGACGTCGCGTGAAGGATGACAGCGATATTAACCGGCTTGAAATAGAAAGAGATGGAAAGAAACGAGAGTCGAGGCAACACGTGTTAATAAGTCACAAAGTGAACGGTGCAAATGGTTGGTAAGAACGATCTGTCTGACTGGAAATCGAGAACAATGGAGAACCAGATGGAGGATCGATCAGCTACACATTCCTGTGATTGATACGTTGACAGATGTACAATGGAACATCGATTAAACGAATTAATCCATTGTATCACAACGAAGTTGGTACGGAAATTTTTTTTACTTTATTTTACGATAATTTTATCATTTAAAAAAACTCGAGTTTAAAATACTTGTTTGTGACGAATAAGTGAAGTAATTGTTAAAAATTAACAAGCATTATTGTTCGCATACCAGGATGAATAATAATCGAATTCTATTATCCTCTGATTCTATATATGTCTTTATACACTGAAAATTCCGATGTGTAAACAAATTTCAAGATATAATAATTTTAGATTGATTAATTGAACCAACAATTGTTAAACCTTTTTTTCAATGATAATTGTTTCTAATTATTAATTTCAATTAATTAATCGCCATAATTATAATTTCTCGATCGTAACATATAAATATACTATTTAAGATCCATCCTATTTTAATAAGTATTTTGCACGCAATGATATAATTATAATTCGTTGAAATCGCTAATTCCACCATTCGAAAGAAATTTTGAATTTATATAGAAAAAGATCAATCTCGAGAATCATACCCTCGAATGATTTTGTTGCTCGAAATTCCATCGAAGATGTTCGATCGAAAAATGGTTGACATCTTCGGGGAAGTGGTGCTCTCGTTTGCTGGCTTCCGTCAATCAAACCGCAACTTACATACCACCTTCGATCGCGGATTTCATGGGTTTCGGTGCACGTCGGTTAATTTGATTTATAACAGATATAAATTGCGATCGGCCAGCTTTACATCTGTAATACCAAGATTGTCTCTATTAATTAGAGCTGTTCGATTTAATTTCGCGAGCGTGGACAACTCGAGTGTTACGTGGGAAAGAAGAATAATAATTAAATCAATTTGTATCATTGATTGTTGTATCATGCTTGCAATCATAATTATAATTGAATAAAAAAAAACGGAATGTAAATATATTCCGACTCTTTTATATTCAATTTTTTGATAAAACTGAATCAACAAGAAATGTTAAATTATGTTAGTTTATTTAGATTGTTTTTATTGAATTATATATTTTTTATCGATTTACAGATCGATAATAAAATAAATTATATTATTATTACATATGACTTACGATATTGATATTGATTGAATTTTTATTATGAAATGTATCGATGTAATATTAAGTGTTAACTCTAAATAAAATACAATATTATTTCATTTCTATCATTTTCTTTTATCTACTGTTTCGACCATTATACACGAGTTATTAACGCGTACAATCTCTTATTACAGTAATAGAAAAGATACGAGATTACAGGAAGAATATTACATATTTGTGTACCACTAGCATTCCATTTTATTATAATAGGGAACACAGGTAAGAAACTATGTATCCTATTCGAATAGCAGGATGTTTGAATAATAGAAGTTTCGCATACTAGGATGAATAATAATCTATTATCCTCTGATTCTATGTCTTTACACACTGAAAATTCCGGTGTATAAACAAATTTCAAGATATAATAATTTTAGAAATTGAAGCAACAATTGTTAAACCTTTTTTTAATGATGAAACATCATATCAAGAAAATAAGAGAGAAGAAGTTACGATTATTGATTAAAATTTTTAAGTTTGTTGCGAAAATTTATTTTTATTATTAAAACTGTGCTTCGTATATTTGAGAATGAGAAGTATAATTTTTTATTATTAAACTTCTTTAAATAATAATTTGTTTCAAAGTTTCGTTTGAAATAATAAACAACTT